ATCTTCAGTCTTCTCACAGGTGTCAAAGGTTCAGGGTTACCTATATCCCATTAGGGTTATAGGAACTGTGGCCTCCTCCCAAGCTGGGCACAGAGGAAGGAACTGGCCTGGCCATGCTTGGGAGTGTGCTCAATACTCAAAAGTCATTATCTCACGTCCTTCTCAACGACTCCCTGAGAGATGCTCCATCACTATGCCTATCTGACCACACGGCTAGAACACATATAATACCCAACGGGGAGTGGGAGCTGAGGACTAGAGCCCACGTGCTTTCATTTCATGCCTGTGATATTACCAACAGAGCTTATATATACTACAGCAGCTACAGTTAGTTAAGTGATTTTAAATTAAAAGAATATCAATTATGTGATTTTTTTTTTAATTTCAGTAAACTTCGTTTATGCCATTTAAAAGCAATGTTAAGAAAAAAATTTCTAAAGAACAAAAATTGTGACTGGGAAACAATGTTGTCAGGTGTCATCGAGTCAACTAGACTTAGGACTATGAACTAGGAGTACCAGACCTGCCCCAGCCACATGATCTCTGACATGCTCGAGCCCACTGTTAGAGTAGCTGTGTCAGTCCCTTGTGTTGAGGGTCTTCCTCTTATTCTCTGACCCTTACCTTTCCAAGCATTTCTACAACCAGATGAGTTCTGCCTTTCAAAACAGTCTTGAAGATATGCCTATGCTTTTACTGTTCAAAGTGTTTTGAAGTTTGATGATACTACCTGCATCATCAATACCTGTTTATAAGAAAGTTAGTCCTGTAAAATTATAGCCACACCTTGTATTTTCATAGACTTAATTGGTTATTCAGGTTGAAATATTAAGGGGATTAAAGTCAAGGTGGAGCAAGACAAGAATTGTTTGAAATGTGTGAAAAGTATAACTCACCAACGAAGACAGAAAGCATAATTATGTTGTCGTATGAGCCATGACTCACATTGATTTTACCATCAACCATGCAAAGGCATTTATTTGACTATGTGGATCATAACACAGTATGGCTAACATTGAGAAGAACAGGAATCCCAGAACACTTAATTGTGCTCATGCAAAACCTATGGCTAGACCAAGAGGCGGTTGTGTGAACAGAGCAAGGGAACAGTGCATGGTTTAAAATTAAGAAAGGCATGCATCAGGGTTCTATCCTTTCTCCACACCTATTTAATGTGTATGCTGAGCAAATTTTTCAAGAGGCTGGACTCTTTATGAAGAAAAATGTGGCATGAGGACTGGAGAAAGACTCAATATCGTCACTATGCAGATGACACAATCTTGCTTGCTGAAAGTGAGGAGGACTTGAAGTGCTTGCTACAAATCAAACACTGCAGCCTTCTGTACGGATTGAATCTCAACATCAAGAAAACACAAATTCTTACCACTTGCCCAATAGGCAACATCATGATAGATAGAGAAAAGATTTAAAATGTCAAGAACTTCATCTTACTTGGATCCACAATCAATACACTTGGTACTAGCATTCACAAGACCAGGGGGACATACTATACTGGGAAAGTCTGCAGTCAGGGACCTTTCCAAATTAAAAAAGGAGCAACGATGCTAGTTTGAGGACCAAGGTGTACCTGATTCGGGTTGTGGTCTTAACAATCACTTGCCCTGCTGCTGAGAGCTAAGAATGCAGGAGAAGAAATGATGCCTTTGACCTGTGCTGTTGGAGAAGAGTACTAAATTTGCCATGGGCTGCTAAAAGAACAAACATGTCTTACTTACATAAGGTGCAACCAGAGTGCTCCTTGGAGGCAAAGATGATAAACCTTTGTCTCACATACTTAGGGCATATTGCTAGGAGAGGCTTTTCCCTGAAGAGGGACATCATGCTTGGGAAGGTAGAGAGACAGCAAGAGAGGAACACAACTAGATGGACTCACACAGTGACTACAGTAACTGGCTCAAACGTATCAAAAATTGTGAGGGTGGTACAGGATAGGAGAGGGTTCAGATCTGTTCATAGAGGCACTAAAGTCATCCTCAACAGCACCTAACAAGAAGAATGCTTCTTCAATACAAGGATGGTGAAGCCTTGTCTCATGTACATACTTTAGACATATTGTTAGGAAGGGCCAGTCTTTGGAAAAGAATATCATGCTTGGAGAGGTGTGGGTTCAGAGTAAGAGAGGAAGACCCGCAACAAGATGAATTTACACAGTGACTGTGCTAGTAAGCTCAGGTCTATCAGATGACAAAGATGGCACATGATAGGGCAAGGTTCCGATCCATTCATTGTTCACAGGGTTGCAATGAGTCAGTTGATTCAACAGCACCTAACAACATGAGTGGTTCTATCTAAAATGAGCTTCTAAAAGCTAGCATGTCTGAGTCAGAAACCCACCGTTTAACAGGAATAAGTGGTGAATCATTTTATAACACCAGATTTTAGAACCATTGATTCTGTTTGCAGACGTAGGCTCCCACTGTACCCCATGCTGTGCCATTTAGCAGTTTCAAAGTCACAAATACAACTCACAGTTGATGTCAATAAAAAAACTTACGTAAAATAGTCAACTACTTTCCCCTGAGAAACTATTATTAATAGGGAATTAAAAAAAGTATTAAAGCGCTGGAACGAATGCTCACTATATGGTTTTATTTTAAATCCTCAACTTTCTGTTGTAGAAATAAACATAACACTGAGAGCAAGAGTGGGGAGACACTTCCTCTTACCTAAAACATCTCATTGCTGTTGAGTATGAACCCATTCGTACCGACCCTCCACTGCGTGTCTGAGACTACAGATGGAGTGGGGAGAGGTGTCTGGTGAATTCAAACTGCCAGAGAGGTGCAGCCTTTGGGTTAACAGCACAACTTCTTAGGGACTGTGCCACTAAAACCGGATACTTAAAGTGTCATTAGAGCCACGGCTTCTGTTTGGAGGTAAACTCGGGGAGTGAGGAGAAAAGACAGCAGTGAGGTGGGGGTCAGCAGCACTGGCTGGATCGACCTGCCTTCCTGAACAGCAAAACACAGTAGAGGGAAAACACATACAGGCTACAGAAGTCTTACTAAGGTTGGATTTCAACCAGCCGGAGGCAAAGAGCAGGTTCATGCACGGCTGCTCCGTTTGCCAGCAGAAGACCTGACCGAGGAGACTTGTATTTCCATCTCAAGAGTTCCACAGCCCCACTCACCAGAGAGGAGAACCAAGACATGGTGACAAGACTCCCGCCTCCCCGACTCCCGCCTCCCCCTGTGTAAGAAGAGAAGGAAGTTCAAACTATCTTCCAGGTTCCAAACAGGATGCATGGAAAAGAGAATGTGAAAAGAATAACGATGCTCAGAGGACAAGCTTTTGACCTTTGGTAGGCTGAAGTACATTTTCAAATGTCAGAAGAAGGTCACTGTCTCTCACCCCTGCATCCTGGCAGGCACAGCTCAAGAGCTGAGAAGACACATTGCTGAATTCTCTCTTTACTGGAATTTAGTGGTCAAGAAGGAGCCCCACCATTTCCAGGACAACGGCCACATCCTATGGGGACTCTGGGCAGTGTGAGAAGAGAAGCCTCCTTCTCTAAAGTCCAGGGCTCATGTCAGAGGTCAAGAGCTGGCCTGGGAACGAGCAGGGCCCGTGGGACCACCGGGTAACCCTCATGAGTGGAAATGTGGCGGCTTCACAGGTGCTTCCTTTTTTCGTTAGGAGTCATTTTCTAAGAATAACTCAAAAGTTTCCTAAACGATGTTCTACGTGTGGTAGAAATGTGAGTGTGCGTTTGCTTATTTTCACATTATACTGTAATTAGATTAAAATTTAAGAAAACTTATAAGCTTCCTTTTATCAATCACAGAATGAAAAAAATAAAATTTCTCAGTCATTAGAATTGCGAAGTCTATGTTATTGAAAATGCCGTCTACAACTCTGGATTGAGAGTTTCTATTTTGCATTTAATTTTATCATCACAACCTAGTTCTGATTCTATAAGATTCTTGGTACCTGGGTCACATCACAGACATTCTCTGTAAGTTAGGCTACTGGACCTCGGTGCTTCTGACAACTTTCTGGGTCCAGAATTCAATCTTAGAAGATACTTTCTGGGGCCAATGATTAAAAGAAGCTTGAATTACACTATTTGACTTTGCTGGCAAAGAAGAAACAGATGCTCCTTAGAAAAATCTGTGTCATATTACTGCTTATTGGTAGGAAATCTAGATGCGAGAGTCACAGACTGATGTAAGCTAAAGAAGATGCAACAGAGCTTTTGCTTGAATCACCAATCTCTGTTTTTATAACACCATTCAGCTTATGATGTACAACTAAAATAAAAGATATTTTTTATTTTTCAATTAATGATTTTACAGATTAGAAGATTACATTTATTAAAGTCAATTTATAGGCAGTTTGTAATCCACTGATTTCTTTTTCCTTTTAAAAAAATAAGAACTAGAGACAGAAATGATTAAGATTGCAGGTTGGGTGACAATGCAAATAGACCTCTTCTTGCAAACCCAGCAGAAAGAGATGTTTCCACCAGTCCAGCAGCAGCATCCTGGAGATGAGCTGACTAGGACATGACGTGTGTGTCAGACCCATAATGTATAATAAGGCTTGAAGCTGTAGGTAGCAAATGTTCTCAGACACACACTTCCCAGACATCTCAATGGCTCGTGAGCCTCTCCCGAGAGGCAAGGATGAAGAAAGCGCACTCTCAGAGGAAGGCTTTTCCTTTATAAATGAGTAAGTTCAGAAGATTCTCTAGAAAAACAAAGATTCAAAAGAAAAGTGGCACCAGGGGTATAAAGCTTTTTAGGAAATACCCAAAAATGAAGAGATTTTAAAAAGGAATTAGTTCTCAAAGAAAAAATTTGTTATTCCTGTAATAATTAGTGTAAAATAATTCCTTCAGAAAAAAAAATATCATTAAAATGCACACTGAACAGACTGCAGTGTGAGGGAATGTCTGACCAGAGGGCATTCCCGTGGGCACTTGGGGAGTTGGCTATACAGCTTACATGGGTTCTTGCTGGAGCCAGAGAAGCCACACATCATTTATGTTTGTAAAATCCTTCCCCTATCTTCTTGCCCAATTTCTTCTCTGCCACCAGTTTATTCAAGGCTGGGCTGGGTTGAAACAATGGGTTCTGGGCATCCAGTTCATGCCACCCTATAAGAGAAGGGAAAGAGTTTAGAATGAAGTCTTGTGTTTCTCATATGCCTTGGCACTCTTGGGGCACATGTGACACAGCTGGGAAAAGGCTTCTATTCTGATGTGGGAAGAGTCCCTCAGGCCATCACAGCAGAGGCACAAGGAAGGCTCGGCCGCTGCCACATGGTGGTGCTCTTTGACTCCCACTGCTAAAGGCTCTGCTGTTTATCCAAGCCCCTCCTGGTAAATCACTGATGTGATTTGCACATGACATCTGGTAAAACATTAGTTTGCCAAGCGGTCCAAGAGCACAAGCAAAACCTGTTAATTTCTTAGTTTGACTCCTCAGTGACACATTTAAAACAACTAACTTCTTAGAATACATATTCTAAATCTGAACTTACTACTGCTGATATTTTGTGTCCTCATAAATCTCAAAATCTGATACATCTCAGTTCTCTCAATTATACAAGCATGCTTTGTGAAGGCTGGTGGTAATGACTGGCATTTGACTTCATGCCAGTTTTAATAAGTACCTTTACCATGTGTTCAGAGTCACTACATTAAAATGGACACTTTCTAAAAAATTATGTATACTTAATTGCAATGAAAGGTACACAAATCAGTATGTGATAACTGACACAATGTCAACTTCCTGGTACTGATACTCTGATTATATAAACTCGAGCTGCTGGGGGGAGCTGGATGAAGGGTTCTCAGGACTTTTATGTACTGTATATGTGCAACTTTCTGGGGATTTAGAAGTTATTTAAAATAAAAATCAATTATTTTGTTAAGAGGCACTACACCTCACAATCTTCCTCCTAGCATCTATTAATTTTAATATTTAAACTGGCAAGGCAGGGAGGTGTGTTCTGGAAGGTCTTCTTAGACTCAGGATGTCTGTATTAAATAGATAGTACGTACGACAGTTCAGACAATACCTTATCTAAAGAAAACGACAGAAAATGAAGAAATCCAATCCCTACCATCCAAGATGAACTTTGTTGTATCCAGCCCAACGTAGTCAAGAAGCTCAAATGGACCCATGGGGTACCCGGCTCCCAACTTCATAGCAATGTCGATGTCTTCCTTGGATGCATCACCTGGATGAAAGGGGCCACAGTCATCACCATCATCCCACAGGTCTCCCCATAGCAGCGTTAGTCTTAGAATGACTGACTGCACTTTTGTAGCTCTGCACATTCAAAGAGCTGCTATAGTCAGGATTTTTGGCTTGGGTAAGAATTCATCTCAGAAGTACAAGCCAAATAGGTCACAAATTTTTCAGTGTTATTCATGTCACATGAGGGGAATTCAAATTGCACTGCTAACCCCCATCAACTGGCTTGAGGGTCCCCCCTCCCCTCAACATCACGCCCTGCTGAGTGCCTGAGCCTGAAAGCCAACAGCCAGGCTCCAGACCCCAGGTCGACCTGAGCACCAGCCCAATGGTAGGATGTGGGAGTCCAAAACACAGCACTGCCAGGGGCATAACAGAGGCAAGGGCCATCTTTTTCCTCCTCACATAAGACTGATTCTGCATCAGCTTGGCCTTTGGAGACAGCCTAACCATGGGAGGTAATCTAGAACACTTGCTCTCTTGGATTTTGTTCACAAACCGAAAACAGTGTCAACCATTCCAAAGCTAATTAAAAGGAGTCAATAATTCCAAAATACTCAGTGTCTTGCACTTAAAAATTTCCAATGTTTTGGCATAAAAAGTGTGAATTACAAGGACTGTATTTTTCAAGGCATATGAAATACTAAAATAAGTCAAAGGATTTCTAGATAGATCAAGGTGATCAAAACACCACCTAAATTCTTCCTTATGGATGTTGTCATTAACACGCTAGCACTTAGTTAACCAGAGAATTCAGAGAATTGTGATTTGAGTTTTAAGCTCTAAGAAAACAAAGACTGATCATATATATCAACTCATAATGGCTTTATTCATTCCTTGGTGTATGTTGTTATGTACTGTATGTCACAGCTGACCCTCTAGTGGGTTTTCAGAGTCAACCAATCACATGAGAGGAGAGTGCCCATCTTTCTCCTATGGAGCAGGTGGTGGGTTCAAACTGCAAGCCTTTGGGTTGGCAGCACAACTCTTTACCACTATGCTGCTACTCATTTAGTGTGTAACATGGGCCAAACGCAGAAAGAGAAAGGAAACAAGCCCTCAGAGTGCTCATGATGAGAGAATTCAGACATGGACATAAAAAATGCCCACCTAACAAGTGCTGAAGAGTCATGACTCCTACACAGGTTCTGTGTACGCAAAGATAGAGAGGCTCATTCAGACTGCCACCTGGTCACCAAATCACCACCCTAGCGTTCTAGGCTTCTCAAGGGTGAAGAGAGTCCCAAGAATGGGTGAGAAGGGCATTCGAGACAGAACAAACAGCACATGCTTTTCATAAGCACTTCGCTAAACAAAGGTAAGAGCAATAAGCTTTCTGTTTCCATGTGGAAAAACAGATTTCCAATTTCTTGGTTTATAAATAATGAGTAGTCCCATTTAAAGAGGGTTGAGACAGAACATGGCATACTTGGGGTGTGGCTCTATAGCTCATAAATGGATTCCCCCCAGAAGATTTCATTAGACCTCAAGACTTCCATGGTTTTATAAGTGGAACACTGGAAGTGACAGCCCACCCCACTCTTCTCTCAGGGCTTAGTACTTAACTACTCCATGTGCTCAGAACAGTGACTTTAACTACCTGTATGGCTGAAATCCTGACTTCCTCCAGTTTTCTATTTTGAGTATCACGTCAGAGGTGACAACCTCCCTATAATGAGTTCAAGTGCTAAAACGCAATGCGAGGACTGCCACTATCCAACTCCCTTTCCTTTTTCTCTTTTAAAAATTTGTCTTCATTATACATACATACACTCCACATCCCAGATGCTTCTGGTGACATAATCCACAGGGCGTAATCCTGCTATTCCAAAGACCACATAATCGCCTCCTATGCAAGTTACAGTCTCAGAAACCCAATCAGAGGTCAGCTATGAGTCAAGGGCTGTGAGTCTGAGATCAGAGACGACAATCTAACATGTTACCTGTTGTTGTTGTTGTTGTGTACTACTGAGTTGGAACCAACCGGTAGCTGACCCTCCAGCAGATTTTCAGAGACAGTTAATCACATGGGAGGAGACTGACCATCCTTCTCCCACCAGAGCAACTGGTGGTCTTGAACCACGTGCCTTCGGGATTGTAGCATAGCTTCTTGCCACTCTTTCTCCTTTATTAGGATGTAAAACTCTTTGGAGGCAGAAATCTGATTTAATAATGATCCCAATCTAACTAGAGTTTTTAAATTGACTCTATAATCAAGGAGAAAGAAAGATGGCACTTCCTGTATAATTTACAGCTTCAGAAACCCCACTGGAGGCTCAGCTGTGAGTTGGTTCTGACTGAACATCAGTGAGTTGAATATATTCAAGGAGAAGATCCTGAACCTTAGAGCTAGTGGCAAGGCTATAATCCTACTAGATTCAGAGCCTCATTTGAGGCCTAATTTACTTTAAAAATATAGGAAGATAACATGCAAAAAACTTAACAGGTTTACAGTTGAGAAAAAAATGAAAAATTCTTTTTTGAGTACTATAAAGTAGTTGCAGCAATAACAAAATAAAGAGAAATACAATGGAGAACTGGAGGCTAGTTAAATTTGTGTTGTGTTTCAGACTAGGCATTCTTATACTTCTTTATTCAGAATCAAGTACTCTGAGAATGTTGACAATCTCCCTTAAAAAAATGTAAAAGTACATACATTCTAGAGCCAACTCTAGGAGGTTCACAGAAGTCTCTCTTCCCTGAAGTAACAGACACTAACTCTGTGTATAACTACAAACAAACGCTTCATCAGCAAACCCAAATCTTTTCCACCGGGAAACAAGGACCCAGACCAGTGGCCTGGCCAAGTGCCTTTCCTGCTAGCTCATCAGCGCCACCTATCAACCATTCTTTGCAATAAAAACAAGCCAGATTTAAACTGACAGCCATTGACTTCTATAAGACTTGGCAAGCACTTAAATATATATATTTAGACTTTGCCTTAGAAAACAGAGTACAAGAGAAGACAGCTACATGTCCAAGGAAGAGCATGGCAAGTGCCCTAGTGGGGATATCTAAGAGGCTTATGACAACAGTCCAGCTTGGAGCACTCAGGAAACAAGGCATGTGGTGATGAAAGCAGGGGCAGAGAATGAGAGGAAGACGGTGTTTTGGCAAATGCATTCTATCTGGTAGGTAACCAGAGAACCACTGAACACATTTTGAGCAATGAGTGGCAGTGATTAGGGTGCCACACGTGACTGCATGCCACTAGCACAGTGGTCCCTAGAAGAGCCAAGCGTGTGGCCCCGAACCCTGCCAGCACCAGTCACACAGGGTGTCAGGCAAGGGCACTGTGGGGTACCAGCCTACACAAAGGTCGGGAGAAAGAGAACTCTGAGCCGCAGGGACAGAGGACAGAAGTGACTAACAGCACCAATCGAGCCCTCAATAAAAATTCTGAGTGGTTGAGAGTGAGGACAGAAGGTAAAGGACACTGCAAAAGAAGGTCCAACACCGCAGAAACCATGATGCTTACAGCGCCTAGCGGGCAGTGGTGAGAGCAACAACAAATCACCACTGGACACCATGGGGAGCTGGCAGGCAGCACTGGGAGGAGAGCTTTGTTGTCGCTGTGAGGTGCTGTGGACACACAGTGACCCTAAGAACAACAGGTCTGAACATGGCTCTCTCCTGTGACTTCCTCATGATCTCAGACAAGCTCAAGCCCACTGTTAGTGTCAATTCATCTTGTTCAGGGTTGTCCTCTCCTTCATTAACTCTGTACCTTTCCCAGCATGATGTCTTTTTCCAAGGACTGGGTCCTCCTGACAACATGCCCAAAACATGTGAGCCCAGGTTTCACCATTCTTGCTTCTAAGGCACACCATATTTGCATTTCCTGCAAGTTTTTTTTTTGTCCTTTTGGCAGTCCACGAGATATTCAATACTATTCCCCCACATCACAATTTAAAGGCATCGATTCTTTTCAGTATTCCAACTGAACCAACTGTCCAACTTTCAGATGCTTAGGAAGTGAAAAATACCATGGCTTGGAGAAGATACCCTTTGTCTTTGAACTGACATCACTGTTCTTTAGAGCTTTGGAGAGGTAGGTCCTTGACAGCAGCTTTTCCCAAGGCAACAAGTCTGCTGGTTTCCTGACTGCTGCTGCCATAGGAACCAACTGGATTCAAGAAAAAATAATCTTTTCTCCATCAATCATGATGTTGTCTACTGGTCCAGTGGTGAGAATTTTTTTCTTGAAATTTAGATGTAAATATCAAAGGCTATATAGTCTTTGATCTTCTTTATTTTGTTAAGTGCTTCAAGTCTTCACTTTCTACAAGCAATGTAGTGTAATCTGTATAATACAGGCAGAGAGTTGGACAGTGAATAAGGCTGATAGAGAATTGATGCCTTTGAGCTGTGGTACTGAAGAAGAGAGTTGAATATACTATGGACTGCGAGGAGAACAAACAGGTTTGTCCTGGAGAAGGTGAAGCCGGAATGCTCCTTAGAGTCAAGGATTCTGAAGCTTCATGTGATATACTTTGGGCATGTTGCAAGAAGGGACTGGTCCTTGGAGAGGGACATCATGTTTGGCAGACTGGAGGGGCAGTGAAGGAGAGGAAGACCTTCGATGAGATGGATTGATTCTGTGACTAGAGCAGTGGGAATAAGTGTGTTTGAGATGGCTAGGTTGGCACAGGATAGAACAGCGTTTAGCGCTCTTGTACATAGGGTCACTATGAGTCACAAACAACTCGATGGCACGTAACATCAACAACAACAGGCTGCTGATGAGTTTTCTTCCAGTCTTGATGCCACTTTCTTCTTCATATTGTCCAGTTTCTCAAATGATTTGCTTAGAATACAGACTGAATAGGTATGGAAAAAGGATACAACTGTAATGCACACCTTTCCCAATTTTAAACTGCATGCAGTGTTCCCTTGTAAAGTATATAAACTGTGACTACACACATGGACCCCATACAATGGACTACACAAGAGTCAGATGGACAACATTTGTGTAAAGAGTCAATAAAGAAGCTCAATATAAACAGTAAAAACAAAGCTAGGGTCTGAGTGTGGAAAAGACCATCAATTACTCACGTGCAAGTTCAAAATGAAGCTGCAGAGAATCAAAACACGTTCACAAGAACCAAACTACAACCTTCATTCTATCCCAACTGAATTAAAAAGCCATCTCAAGAACAGATTTGATGCACTGAACACTAACGACCATCAACCAGATGTGTTATGGGATGACATCAAGGGCATCATCCATGAAGAAAGCAAAACATCATAACAAACAAAGAAAGAAAACCCCCAAAATGGTTATCAGATGTTGTTGTTGTTGTTGTTATGTGCCGTCGAGTCGCTTGCAACTCATAGCGACCCTATGTACAACAGCCCTAAACTCCGCTCTGTCCTGTGCCAATGGCACTGTCGCTGACACTCCCATCCCAATTACCCCGGTCACTGAATCAATCCACCTCATAGGGGGCCTTCCTCTCCTGCGCCGTCCCTCCACCCTCCCAAGCATGATGTCCCTCTCCAAGGACCGGTCTCTCCTCACTACATGTCCGAAGTAAGTTAGAGCCTCAGAATCCTTGCCTCCAAGGAGCCACCCGGTTTAACCCTCTCCAGGATAAATCTGTTTGTTTTCCTAGCAGTCCACGGTATTCTCAATACTCTTCTCCAGCACCACAGCTCAAAGGCATCAGTTCTCCTTCTATCCTCCTTGGTCATTGTCCAACTCTCTGATGCATAACAGGTGATTGCGAAGACCATGGCCTGTATCAGACGCACCTTAGTCTCTAGAGAGACACCACTGCTCTTCAGTACTTTGGAGAGGTCCCTAACAGCAGACTTTCCCATGGCAATGCGCCTTTTAATTTCCTGGCTGCTGGTGCCAAGACTGTTGACTATGGAGCCAAGCAAACTAAAGCTGTGTACAATCTCAATCTCTTCACCATCCATCCTGATGCTGCCAACTGGTCCAGTGGTGAGAATCTTTGTCTTCTTGACATTGGGCCTCAATCCATATTGCAGGCTGCAGTCCTTGACCTTCAGCAGCAAGAGGTCAGGTCCTCCTCAGTTTCAGCAAGCAGGATTGTGTCATCCGCATAACGCAGATTGTTGATAAATCGTCCACCAATCCTGACCCCACATTTCTCCTCATAGAGCCCAGCCTCCCGGATAATCTGTTCTGCATATAGGTTGAAAAGGTATGGAGATAGGATGCATCCCTGGCGTACGCCCTTCCCAATTTTGGACCATGCAGTGTTCCCTTGCTCTGTTCTGACGACTGCCTCCTGGTCCAAGTATAAGTTTCGCATTAGAACGATCAAGTGTTCTGGGATTCCCATTCTTCTCAGAGTCAGCCACAGTTTGTTATGATCTACACAGTCAAATGCCTTTGGAAAATTGGACTAGATTATAAAAGAAGCCAAAACAAAGGAATAAAATGCTGAAATAAAAGAACAGGGCAGAAGATTTCAAAGGGCAGTTCAAGAAGATCAAGTATTTTGAAAAAATATAAAAAGAGATGAGAGTTAGAACAAAGAACACAGTTCGCATTTCTCAAGCTGAAAGAACTGAAGAACAAATTCAAGGCTAAAGTGGCAATACTGAAGGATTCTTTGGGAAAAATATTAAGTGCTGCAGGAAGCATCAAAAGTAGGTGAAAGGCATACGGCAGAGTCACTGTACCAAAAAGAAACTACCAGCATTGAACCATTTCAGAAAGAAGCATATGATGAAGGGCCATTGGTAACAAAGGAAGAAGTTCAAGCTGCATGGAGGCATTAGCAAAAAAAGACCCAAGAATTTCTCAAAACCAACTGAAGTGTTTCAACACACGAATGTAGCCCTGGATGTGTTCACTACTACCTTATGCCAAGAAATTTGAAAGACAGCTACTTAGTGAACTGACAAGAAATGATCCTTCTTTGTTCTCTTTCCCAAAAAAAGCGATCCAATAGACTGGAAATTTTTTAACAATATCATCAATATCACATGCAAGTAACATCTTGCTGATGATTATTAAAAAATAACTAGGATACACATCAACAGAGAACTGCCGGAAATTCAAGCTGGGTCCAGAAGAGGCTGTGGAAAGAGGACTATCATTGTTGATGTGATGGATCTTGGCTGCAAGCAGAGAATATCAGAAAAGTGTTTGTGTGATATTGACATTTGATTGTGTGAATCATAACAAATTATGTATAACACAGGGAGGAATGAGAATCCCTGAACATTTAACTGTGTTCATGTAAAACTTACACACTGTAGAGGCCCTTGGGATTCCTGAAACTGCTCAGTGTCCAGGAGACCTAACTGGTCCTTGGCTAAAAGGATTCCCTGCCCAAATAGTCTACACAACCTTATGACAAGATTCCATCACGCACAGCAGCATTTAAAAACATGTGTCAAAGGAGTACTCCAACTGTGGGAACACCAATAGTGTAGGAGAGAAAAATTTCTCCGAATGAGTTTGGAAGAAGTTGGGCTAAAAAAAAAAAAGAAAGAATCTCAGAATGTTTACACTGCAAAGGTTTCTCAAATTCTGCTGGATCCTGAGACTTGCTCAACTATACACAGTATGTCGTACCTTTCCACAACAACTTGACACTCCTGCAGGCATGGCAGCTGGCTGTGTTACAGAGGACAGCAGTTTGGAAAGACATGTGACATGTAACGTGGATTCCTTTGCTGCCTGAAGGAGCTGAGGCAGGTGGACTGACAGGGAAAGGTGGGTTGAAAAGGCATGACAGAGATAAATTTTAAAATGGCAAATGGATAGATGTGGCAGACAAAAGGAAAAGAACCCATGATGATTTCAGGTTTCAAAGCAGAACTAATGCTTAAGGCAGCCGAGCGGCAGGTAAACAGAGAATGAATGGCTGGCACCCATTAAGAATGTCTCGGTGAGGTGGCCGTGGAACATGGTATGAAGCCTGAGGTGCAGCCTTAGAAGTTGACACTTTCTTGTGGATTGTGGGATGTGGGGAAACAGTCTCCATCCCAGACATGAGGTCCAGTCCCTTCTGAAGTAGCAGCTCTGGCCCAAGAGCCTGGAGAAGGACACTGGGAAAAGAAGCCAAGCATCAATGACAAGGGCTCTGCTCTTTGGTACAGTCCAGAGCCAACCAGGAGTCCCGCCCACATGCAGCCTCAGCTGACAGTGGTTAGGGAAGGATGATGAGGCTCAGAGGGAAACACCTGTTCACAGGGGATCGCTGATGGTGTGAGAACCAAGAAACTGTTTTCAACTTACAATTAGATACATGACACAGAAAACCTATCAAAGTGACAGTGTGTGTCAGTGAAAAAAACACCAGTAGATGAGGATCATCCACACGCTATGTGTACGTGTAGCATTTTTAAAAAATGCCTTTCAAGGTAGGGCAAAATGCTTCATGCTCTCTTTGAGGTGTAATTAGCCATGTTTGTTGATAGATAAACACAGAAGTGTTGGTTTGATCTTGGAGTAAAAGGGAAGCAATTGCTTCCATAAAGCATAGAGCAAAGTTTTAATATTTAAAGCAGATTGTGAGGAAGCAAATGTGCTTTCATCTTACTGGAAAAGCTGGTGTAAATGTTTTGTTTCAAAAATGACATTCTCAGAACAAGCATTTGTGAATGAAGCAATTGAAAACAATTACACTTGCTTTTCATCCAGGCTTGGTAAGGCTTGCTTTACCATTCAAGCAGCCAGGATAGTGACCTTGGGAGAAATGGGGAAGAAGGCAAACAGAAGGATAAATGTCAATCTATAGTCTTGGAACACACCCCAAGTCTGTATTCCTAGATCAGGGAAGACTATTCTTTGTCCATCAACAGTTTTCCTAAGGAAAATTTTTTTTTAGAGCCTGATATAGGGAGCTCTGGCGGCCTAGTGGCAAGAAGCTGCGCTGCAATCCCGAAGGCACAAAGGTTTGAGTACACCAGCTGCTCCGCGGGAGAAGGATGGGCAGTCTCCTCTCATGCAATTAACTGCCTCTGAAAACCCACCGAGAGTCAGCTATGAGTCAGTTCCAACTCAACTGTATATAACAAAAAATAGTTTAAAAAAACGCAATACTCCACGACACCAGTGTGATCCAGTAATAAAAAAAGCGCTGGAGGCACAGTGGTAAGAAGTTGTGCTGTTAATGCAAAGGTGCACGGTTTGAATCCACCAGCTGCTTCGCAGGACAAAGGTGGCCAATCCCCTCCCCTGTGATTTACTGCCTCTGAAAACTTGTGGCTTGTCAGCTATGTATGGGTCAGTTCTGACTCAACGATACACAACAACTAGTGGCATGTTGAGGAGAGAGGTGTGTTGTTAACTCAAAGGTGGCACCCTCTCTGGCAGTTCAAACCCACCAGCTGCTCCAAGGAAGAAAGATGAGCAATCTCCTCCTGTGCAGTTTACAGCTTCTGAAAACCCATTCAAGGCTCAGTGATGAGTTAGTTTGGACTCCACAGCAATGGCTTTGACCATTCATTAAGCCAAAGGGCTTAATTAGGAAGTTCTTACCACATATTACCCCTGTCCCTTATTGCCTGCCCTTTACCCATTACACAAGTCATAGAATTTTAAGACCTTAAGGACTTCTGGGTTATCACCTCGCTGAGTGACCTATAACTTATTCCTTTTAAAGCAGTGAACATCTTAACTGAAAGATGAGCCTTGGATGTAAATCCAGGTCAGCTGTGGAATTGCCCTGGCTGGGGCATAATGGCTTCTCAGAGTTGTACCTCAGAAGTTTCAGAGAACTCAGGGAACACAATACCAGGCCCCATGGCCCAGAGCAGTGAGGCCAGAACTCACAGCTAGAACATGCGGGCTCCTTCCTCTACTCTACCCACCCGCTCTTCCTAAAGGAGGCCAGGTCAGGAGAGCTACCTCGTTCATACAGCCTGATGGCTTCCGCCAGGTATGGCACCAGTAGACGGTTGACAATAAAACCAGGTGTGTCCTGTTTTAAGAAAGAAAAAACAAAGTGAATTTTCAGTAAACATCATCTATGAAGTGATCATATACGGCCTCTTTTTACTCAATATTATATTCTCCACTTTTATGAAGTTATTTATAATAAAAATCCATTTTCAAGAGCCAACACTGCCTTATTTGTAGCGCATATGACATTTATCCAACAATTATGTTATTAAAAAAAAAATCTACCTCAGAATCACTGCATGATCAAGGTAGTGCAGTCACTTGGCAGATACGGTTTCCAATTCAAATGTTCTGACCGTGCCTCATTTCGATGCTCAATCTACTTATCTGTGAACTGGGAGAATTAATGTCTGCTTCCTGGGTCTTGATGAAGATCCCATTTAAAAATACATGCTCTTCCTTCTCTCATATTCTTTGAGAAATCTAGGAAAGGTAATGCTCCATTTTATATAAACCTCAAAGGAGAATGACTCTGGCTGCTCATCTCCACACTTCACTGCACAGCCTGGTACAGTCGAGCTGGAGCAAGGGGCAGGGGGCAGGGAGAAGGGCACCCGAGCAGATCTCCACAGGTGCTGGCCATTCCTCACACACCACCCAGGACCCAGGACCCTGAAGACAATTCCTCATAGGGCACACCCTCTTGATGATCTTTCCTCCTCACTCAGATGCTTAATCACTTCTCCTGAGACCCGTGTGAGCTCTCGACTTTATCTCTTGTGGGTGCATATAAGAAAGGGTGTGTTGGTAATTTTTTCACGGTATTTAGGTGAAGCTGCTTTCTACTAAGCTTGTCTTTTTTCAAAAGCCTGTGTTCTTCCTGAGGAAAGAAATACCCTGGTCCTGGACCTTGTATTCAGTTTCTAGCATATACTAGGCACTCCATAAATATCTGAATTAAGATGATAAAGCCCTTACATTATTCCTTTGGAAAACTGGATTACATGCCAAGTAAACTAGGCACTGAAAACAACATTACTGTATCTCTTCTAACTTTGGACAAACTATAAACAATATGACCTTTACCTCCACAAAAGCACAGTAGTGCACAAAAGAGTTTTATCAGTTTAATTAGAACTAATTAAATGAAACCACTTTTACAACAAAGGCAAAAATATGCTTTTCAACATCCAGAGGTATTGAGAACATGCCTGAGAACAAGCAGCACAATACATTACAGTATGAAAAGACTAAAAAATGCATACATATATATTCTGATTATAAAGGTTAATATCAAGAGTTCAAAAAGCTCAATAAAGACTAAAACACAATATTTAGTCTCACTAGGAATCAAAGAAATATTCAATAAAATTAAGTTGCATTTTGTTGCTAATAATAGCAGGTTTTCCTCCATTATCATTTTCAAAACATTGATGACTGAGAGAAAGACACTCTTGTAATACTGTTGTTGTTGTTGTTGTTTGTTAAGTGCCACGGGGTCATAGATGACTCATAGAGACACTATCAATGAAAGTCTGTCTTGAACACAAAATTTTCATCTTTTCTCCAGGTTCATAGAGTTTCGAGGCAAGCTTTGATGCCACTCTTGCTTCTGAGTCTGTATTATGTGGGTTTGTAATATTAGTGGGGCTATAAAGATTTGTAATATTTTTATAAAGCAGTTTCATTTATATCGTTATAACACAGTTTTCATAATCTTTTGTGTATTTTATTGTATATGCTTCACTTACTATGTGTCAGGCACTGTTTTAAGTAATTTATATAATTGATTTGATCTATTCCTCCTAATAACCGTTTGAAGCAGGTATTACACGAGGCATGAGAACAATGAGGCATGAGAGGTTAAGTAATCTGGCCAAGGTTAAGCAGCTGGGAAGAAGCCGGTCAGGCCAACTGCAGCATGCATGCTTGTAGCCTTACAGCATGACCTCTCTGTGCAATCTCCCTATGAAGAAACTCAGGATACATCAATGTCATTCTTCTAAGTTTAGTGTTAGTAAATTATGGTCTGATGGGCCAAATCCAGCCTACAATTTGTTTTGATAAGTATGGTTTTATTGGCCCACAGCCCTGCTCATCCCTTTACATACTATCTTCAGTTGCCTATATGTTAAACAGAACTGATTATGTGTGAGGGAGATCACATGATCTGCAAAGCCTAAAATATTTACTGTAGGATCTGGCCATTTGCAGGAATATTAGCATCTCCCTGTTCTATGAAGGTGCCATTCTTTTTCTGAATGTTCAAGAACCTATATAATTAAGCCAGAATGCCTCTGGGAGAGCCCTCAGGTATCACATAGAGAAAGACTCTGAAATGATGTAAAAAAGGACATTTCGGTGACATTAATGATTGCCCATCTTCACAGCTGCCATGGCCACCATAATGGGAGAATTGATCATCAAGCTCCATGATTTATATCAGATAGTTACCGATAAGGCTAACTTTTTCTTACACTTGTTATATCTAGCTGCTACTTTGCTATGCATGGCTATTCTTTGTAACCCAATTGCTACTTTTTCCACTCACAAAACACAATGGCATAAGAAAGTATAATCGTAATATCCAGTTATTAAATGTGGTATTTTCAAACTGGGATTTAAAAAGCAAAAAATAGATGTTAAACAGAGACCCTCTGGGAGAGGGATGGGTAGTCTCATCTCACGCGATCAACTGCCTCTGAAAGCCCGCTGAAGGGGCAGCTATGAGTCGGTTCCGACTCGTCAGCCCACAACAAGAATAAGTTGATAATAACAAACTTCTCTCTTAAGTCAGGGGAATGTGCTTTCTTTGGCCACTGAGGTTCACATGAAAGGATGAGTTCGACAGATGATTCAAGGCATATGATTTTATGTGAGTTAACACAATATGATGAGTTCAAACTTGGAAGTATTTTAGCAAGCAAAGGAAGGACATGAGAAGAACCATAATGATATAAAAGCTGCTGGCCAATATAAGCATGGAGTTTTGCTGTACATGCACGTGCACACACACATCTCATGGTCAAAAGGTTGCTGTTAGGTGCCACAGAGACATGTACAACCTACTGCAACCCTATGAACAACTGATCTGAAACCTGTCTTATCCTATGCCATCCTCAAAATCTGATCTACTCAAGCCTACTGGGCTTATTTATTAAATTTCATAATATAGTGTATAATTTCTTGATACAAATGCCCCTTTGCCAAAACTGCAGAAGCTGAGTCTAAGTTTTTGACAGAGAAACTAAAGTCAATAGATAAAGGTAACAAAAATGAAGGTTATCATTTCAGACAACTGCGATAGTTTTATATACGATAAAAGGATTATTTTTTTTTAATGGGGGGAAACCCAAACAAACCACAAAACCAAAACAACACCCCCCAAAAATTCTAGAGGTCAAGCCAGCCTTTTTGACTCAATCATGCTTCATACAGAAAAACAAACCACTGTTGTAGTGAGAAAAGGCTTCATTAATGGTGGTGTAGACGTGTCCTCCAGGCTGAGCTTATCATACAGGGCTCTGCTCCCAGTGGCCCACAAGAAGTCAAAGCTGACAGGGGTAACCAAAACTAGTTATGAATGGCAAAACTAGTTATGAATGGGCAAAAGCCAGGCCCCAGGGAAAGTCTCACATCCCCTGTTCCACTGATGCCTTGAGCTCCATTCCGCTTTCAGACTACCCACCTGACGGCCATGGGCAAGGCTTAGGAGTCGAGTTTCCCTGGCAGCAAACTGCCCTAGAGGCTGCATGTGTGGCTTGCTCTTCACAGGATGCCAGCATGCTTACAGTGGCTAGTGGCTCACTGCTCACAAAATTCTACCAAGAACTGAGTCACAATCCAAGGAAAATCATCCCCTTCCCAAGTACCCATACATTACCTTGCAAGAAACAGGATGCTTCCCCAGAGCTTTGGTGAAATCTACCAGAGATTCAAATGTCTTCTGGCTGGTCATGGGGGTTTTAATGACCTGGAAATGCAATGTAGTGAATTAGGACGTGAAAGTCAACAGCTAACCTCAAACGAACTGTGAGAAAATGCCAATCAAAAAATCCCAGAGACAGCAAAACTAATTTTTTATTCAGAACAGACGTAGGAACCGAAAACACTCAACAAAATATTCATTTTAAGACAATGAAACATTAAAGGCTGTATAAAATCAAGGACAAACTTGAGAGAGAAAGAGAGTATATGTGTGTATGTGAGTGTTGTGTTTGTATATAATATGTATGCATCCTGTGCATATTTCTTGAAACTGAAATTATACCAAATTTGAGACGTGGAAGAGAGGACGAAATAAAATTAGTGGTTAAAACATGAAGTACAGGTCCTAGGAGGAATGAAACAAAAGAAACAAACCCACTTAAGTCAAGTCAATTCTAGCTCACAGAAACACTCTACTACAGCATAGAATTACCCCATAGGGTTTCCAAGGCTGGAAAGCTTTACAGAAAAGCAAGCTCCCAAAACGTCCTCTTACATAAAGAATAAAGTGTTCCATAAATACTGACTTCTGCTACTGTTTTAGTTGCTATTGTTAATTACTTCAGGGAGGAAAGTGAACTAGTGTTTGCATGTGATATTTTTTGTTATAGTACTAGGCAAGGGAGGAAGAAATATAGGAACCCCAAGATTTCTGTTCCTATTCCTATCTCACAGAATGTCAGTGCTAGAAGACACTAAAACATGGGGGTCCCCTCTACCTTACAGATGAGTTGTTGTTGTTGTTGTTGTGATGTGCCATTGAGTTGCCTGTGACTCATAGTGACCCCAGGTACAACAGCCCTAAACCCTGCTCTATCTTGTGCCAATCTCACTGTCTCTGACACACCTACTCCAATTACCCCAGTCACTGAATCAATCCACCTCAGAGGGTCTTCCTCTCCTGCACTGTCCCTCCACCCTCCCAAGCATGATGTTCTGCTCCTAGGACTGGTCCCTCCTTGCAACATGTCCAAAGTATGTCAGATGAAACTTCAGAATCCTTGCCTCCAAGGAGCAACCTGGTTTAACCTTCTACAGGTTGAACCTGTTTGTTTTCTTAGTCCATGGTATATTCAATACTCTTCTCCAAAATCACAGCTCAAAGGCATCAATTATTCTATCATAGCCAGTCACTGTCCAGCTTTCTGACACAAGTGATTGCAAGGACCATGACCTGTATCAGGCACCCCTTAGTCTCCAGAGTGACACCATTCCTCTTCAGTACTTTGGAGAGGTCCCTAACAGCAGACTTTCCCATTGCAATGCATCTTTTAATTTCCTGGCTGCTGGTGCCAGGAGTGTTTACTGTGGAACCAAGCAAACTAAAGCTGTTAACAATCTCAATCTCTTCACCATCCATCCTGATGCTGTCAATTGGCTCAGTGGTGAGAATCTCTGTCTTCTTGATACTGAGCCTCAATCCATACTGAAGGCCACAATCCTTGATCTTCTGTAGAAAGTGCTACAGGAGTAGCAAGCAGTTTCAGCAAGCAGGGTTGTGTCATCTGCATAATGCAGATTGTTGATGAGTCTTCCTCCAATCCTGATGCCCCACTTCTCATAGAGCCCAGCCTCCCAGATAATCTGTTCTGCATATAGGTTGAAAACGTAATAATGAGAGAGAAAAAAAATCCCAGGAAACCGAATGATGTGCCCAAGTCACAGGTCTCTTGGACCTCTCAATGAATGTTGCTCCTATCAGTCTTCCTCTCCCACAGAGAAGCATGAAATCCCAGCAGGGACACTATACTTCAGAAAAGACTCTCTTTAAAGAACAAGGCTTTACATTTACAGAAGAAAGGCCCAGGGACAGGCCTGTTCTTTACCAGAAACCTCAGACAGATCCCAGCAACTTGTGACTCAGAAAGCTCAGTGCAATCGTAGAGCCGCTAGCTCCGTTCCAGCAGCCTCCTGTGATCTCTGAGATGGCCACAAGCACAGAGTCTACATAGGGGCAGCCTTCAATCAAACTTTATCTCAAGAAATGACTGGCAAATGGAGAGAGCTACAGATGAACTTCAATGTGTGTGCATAATGTATCATTTAGCTGCCAGTAAGCAACTTCAGCCAGATTTAGAGCAACAGGCTTCATTCCTATGTCTAACCCTTTAAGTGATAGTGACGGTGGTGGTGGCAAGGGCTGCTGAGTCATTTCTGACACACAGCAACATTACGCACAACACAATAATATAAAGCTCAGTCCTGTGCCATCCTCACAATCAGAGGCAAGTCAAATCAACTCTCCACGCCTGCCTTCTTAACTGTGAAATGAAATGGGGATAATAACCCTTGACACATCCTCTGGTGTAAGAGGATGGCTTAATGAGCTAGTGTCTGTAAAGGGATGAAAGGTGCTATATAAATGAAGAAGCTTATTATCACTTATTTACTAATGTGATTACAGCCTCAGGTGTGGTCGTACCTAATGACATAAAGGGAAGTAAATGAGTAAAAAACCAAAAAAAAGTACCATGAAGATAGAGATGAATGGGAAAAGATGGGCCACAAACTACTCTGCAAGTGTCACAGTGAAAAAACAATCCTGGAATTCGCCTGAAAAGATGTCTAAAAAGTCTCCATCAGAACTAAAGAGCTTGGAAGGGGAAAAATGGGTTTTTGTTACGTTTTGAAACAACAGGGATGCATGTTCGTTCATTCAATAAATGGTAAACTGACTACAGGTAAACTATTCTGTACACAGTTCTAATGTAAGAGACTGAAAAAAAAAATGCACCATTAAATCCAGTTTCAAGCAAAGGAGAGTCACCATTCAGTTAATCATACAGTGCACGCTGATGATCACCACCAGGACCACACACAAGAGTGAAAGCCAAAGAATAAAAATTGATTGGTAAAGAATTTTACAAAATATTTTCCGATAATGGTAGCATTTGCTAAACAGCAGGTGTTAACAACCAAAGTTCTGAAAAATTAATGGAAGCAGTAGTGGCATCCACTTCCTAAACACCATCCTTCTGTTGATGTTGACGGTTGTAGCGGGACTTCAGGCCTTTCGTTCAGAGGGTCGCTATGAGTTGTGCTCGACTCGAAGACAATCAACAACAAGAACAATGACATCAGATAAATACAGTAAAGAACTTGAGAATTTGGAGTAAATCTTCATTTTCTTGAATGTACCTTTTGAAAAAGTGTGCAGGCAGGGGAGACAAGTGCGCAGACTATGACAAGTTCTAGACTTTCCTACAATTTTTCTTTAAACATAAAAAATAAAGTCTATTAAGAAGTCATGTCCTTTGTACATAAATATTAATGTAATAGTAATAAAAGAAGATCAATTGTCTGGCTCTTTGGAGGCAAGAACGATGAGGCTTCACCTCACATACTTTGGACTTATTGCTAGGAGTTGCTATTCCTTGGAGGGGGGCACGATGTTGGGAAGGGTAGAGGGTCAGTGAAGGAGATCAAGACCTCAATCAGGTGGATTGACAGGGTGACTGCTGCAATGGGCTCTTGTGTGTCAGGAAGTGTGAGGATGGCGCAGGACAGGACTGGTTTCAGATCTTTTTTTCACAGGGTTGCTGTGGGTTGTACAACTCAATGGCACTTAACAACAACAACAACAACTGAAATGTTAAAAGTGTCATTCTATTGTGCCCTTTTTAAAACTACATGAAGTGTAAATGCTGTTTGTTAAGTTCCCTGTGTCCTCCCCATCATTCTTCAATGTCTTCAAAGTTAGCCGGAGAAAACAGCAGGAAACTGGAAGAAATTGAAAAGTACTATTAGTAGAACAAATTTTAGTTGCAAGATGGGACAGACTGTCACTTAGGAGCAAATGATGAGAAAATACAGTTATCATTAAAGTAGATGTTAATGCTTCTGAAGTGGCGGGCGAGGAGAGAGAGAAGAAAAGGGGGCTGGAGGAAAAGAAAACAGAGCCTAAAACACACCCCAATGGGGCTACAGCCAGTCTCCAGAGGTCTGCTGGCTCCACATCACCCACATGGCAGCATCCCCCACACTTCGCACGGCAATAACTCCTCAACCTCAGAACAAATGCTACTTTAATAGAGGCTGCTCTTCAGATCCTGTAATTAGCCCCCTGTAAAAGGCAAGTTGCCACATTTCAGGGGCAAATAGACTATTGTGACTCCATCTCCCCCATAACCCAGACTCCAGGCAATCAAACAGAAGTAGTCCAAACAGAAATACTGGGGTGGAGGTGGTGTGCAATTCCCTGGCCACTTCCCTCCACCTCACAGGTTTGTGGTCAGGATGTTCAAGGCTATTAGTAGCTGCTTTTAATAGCTCTGATCACAACAAACAGGAGATATGCCTCATTTGTGGACAAATCCCAAGCAGTGCTACAAAGGGCCAGAATTCATTTCAGGAATAGTGGACATATAAAACCAGGTCTGTCGAATGGTTAAGCTATGGGCTTTTAACTGAATGGTTGGCAGTTGGAATCCACCAGCAACTTCTCGTGATAAAGACCTAATGAAGTGTTTACATAAAGCTTACAGTCTAGAAAAAAAAAAAACCAGGTCTGTCTAAGAGGAATTCCACTCACAGCCTGAAGCAAACTGACCCTTAATGAGAGTACTACGCTGTGTACTTCTCTCTTTTGTCATCTTCGTAAGCAAATGATCTTTCATGATGCACTCCAAGCCCTTCTCAGTGCTGTCCAAATAGTAAATAGCATTCCACAAAATTAACAGGTCCCCAGAGTATCGCAAGTCAAAGCCCAGGGCTGCAGAAAAAATGACACAGTAGTGCTGTATACAGGGTATACTTTCTTCCACTCTGAAAGGGCAGATTAACAGCACAAGAAAGAGAAACATATGCACAAGGACAACCTTCTACCCACCCACTAAAGTCAAGCTGATGTGTCCCTGGCCAGGGCCAGCGCAGCTCAAAAAGCAGGGCTTTGAAGCAGAGCAAGCAGACATGCAGAACAAGACACCCACTGACCTCCACAAGTTTCATTAAGGGCACAGGGTTGAAGAAGTGGAGCCCGGCGAATCGGTCTTGTCTGGTGGTGGCATTGGCTATGCTTGTGATTTGCAAAGAGGAAGTGTTGCTGGCAAAGATTGTGTGTCTGTAGAGAGAAAAATGGTGGGGTACTGGAATAAGTCCCATCTCTGCAAATAATTAACACTGGTGTTGAGTTCAATGCATAACACAACCACTTACTGCCCACAGCTGCTGTCCTGGTGGAAAGACACATCTTTAAATAGGTGGCTGAAATCAAGTAAGCCCAGTTTAATAAAAATGCTGACATTTTAAATAAAATAACTTAAAAGCTACCTGTTGCATAGGTATATTTAATCTTTACTAATAGCTCCTTAATTTTAGGAAGCAAAATAAATCCTGTCTATTTTTATTGGTTAGTAATCACCATATATAAGGCATTTAATGAATGAAAGTATATAAAGAACCTCAGTGACAAGATAAAAACTCTAAGTCACCAAAGCCTAGAGAAGACAAGACACTCAAAAGAAACAAAAACTGAAATACACACCTGACCGACTCTTCAAAGAGAAGCATCTGATGGTAAATATGAACTGCATCGTCTAACTTCCCCATGAAAACCTTTACTTTCCCACTTGTTAAAACAAAAAATGAAGAAAACCAACAATGTACATCGGTAGTTTGGGAGAAAATACATGTTCAAGACCTTCAACTTATAAAACCTCCTAAAAAAGGCAAATTCTATCATGTATATAAAGTATTAAAGTATTAATTTAGAGAATTCTATATAGACTGAAACAAAATTTAACTTTTGAAACAGTAAAATGGATTTATACTAAAAGCATAAAGGGGAAATTTTTAAAGGCAGGTATGATTTCTAGGCTTTCCTATAGTGCCACCTGGTGGACAAAACTCACAAAACCTCTTGTGAGGTAAAGTCAATGACACCCACATAAATAAATCCTATCAACAGAACAGAATCTTGTCCCATCCTGCTCCATCCTCACTCTCTCTGTTATTGCTACAGTCATTATGTCAGTCTTTGTTATGGAGGATCTTCTCTCTGACCTTGCACCTTTCCCAGCTTGTCTTTTTCAAAGGACTCATCCCTCCTGACAACTCCGTTTCACTATATTTCCCTCTAAGGAGCAGCCAGGTTGCACTCCCTCCAAGACAAATGTTTTTGTTCTTTGCCAGTCCATGGGATATTCAGTACTCTTCACCAATAGCACAATTCAGAAGTATAGATTCTTCTGTTGTCCTCAGTCATTGTCAAACTTTCAGGTGCATAGCAAGTAACTGAAAAGACCAGAGCTTCAATCAGGCACACCTTAGTCTTTAAATGGACATCCTTACTCTTTAGCATTTTGGAGAGCTCCCTGACAGCAGATTTTCCCAATGTATTGGCTGGTTGTAGTGCCAGATTCCTGCTTACAAAAAAGTAAATACTATAAACAACAGGGTAGGGAAGAGAAAGAGTGTTTGTTGGTTTTTTTTTTTAAAAAAAAATCCTTTGAAAAATATGGAGAATAGAGTGTAGTGAAAAGAGAAGCCTGCACAGCAGATGACAGACAATTGTTACTGGAAAGATTTACTTAAGTGAAGATCTTTCCATTGTATCTTCCTAACAACTCCCACTTAGCCCACCTGAAGGCCAAATTGGGGAGTTTTTAATTTACAAATTGGTATGTTTGCCAAGATTTTAAAAAATTGGGGATGTAAACTTTAATGCTTTTTGGCCAGTCGGGTAAAGAATATATAGGGTATTCTATAAAGAAAAGCACACCATGCATGAAAATGTGGAGGGTCATGAGAGAGTAAGACTCTCCATGGCACAGAATGATAAAGGACTGAACAATGGGCCTAAGGGCAGCAGAGATTGGGAGGACTGGGCCAGGTTTCACTGTCTTGTACAGAAGCTCACAGTCAACTCAACGGCTCCTAACAACCACCACAGGCACCTGTGCCATCACAGAAAGTAACAGCAAACCCAGCCCTCCTTTAACCCCACCTCAGAAGCAATCTGAGGCGGGTCAAGCCCTCAGCGATGGCAAGGATGGCCTTGGCACAAAGCCAACAGCTGTTCCACATTCACATTAAGGGGGGGGAAGTTACATTATGATGCACTTTTTTTTTTTTGCAGCATCTGAGCAGAAACTTGTCTGCATTATGATGCACTTTTTTTTTTTGCAGCATCTGAGCAGAAACTTGTCTGCAAAAATGGAAAACCAGGGCAGTTATTGGAAAACACATCCTGTAAAATGATGAACACAGGCCATCAGAACTCAGTCCCAAATGTTACCAGAACAGGGCACCCCTTGAATACACATGCTCAGAAGAGAAAAAGCAGTCTCTCCTGAGTAGCCTCTCTTGCTTAGAGCTTTTCCTCAGTCTATGTTTATGCTTCTTGCAAAATCACTTAAAACCTGTACACCAATTTTTATGATAGCAGTTTACATAGTAAACAAAAGGCAGAAACAACAACAGTGTCAATCAAGAGATGAACGGGTAAACAAAGTGGTGATGAATGTTGGAAACATTATTGCTGTCCTCACTGAAAATATTTCACAACCAAGTGTTCGCCCTGAAAAAAACCACTTCCCTGTTTCATTCCTTCCCTACCTTATGTCGTTGTGGACCGTAGAGTCAGAACCGACCCATAGCTGATCTTCCTGTGGGTTTTCAGAGGCAGTTACTTGCACAGGAGGAGACTGTACATCCTTCTCCTGTGGAGCGGCTGGTGGCCTCAACCCCATGCCTTCAAGACTGCAACTTCTTGACCCCAAGCCACCATAGCTTATATACTTTTCTTGTTGATTGCTGTCAGACGAGCATGATTCATAGCAAGCCTATGAACAAAAGGTCTGAAGTCTTTCTATATAGTTATATCATCATTTATCAAAGTTCATAGACTTTCTAGAAGCATGTTGTTTAGGAAGTGGATGCCACTCCTGTTTCCAAACCTGTCTTAAACTGGGAACTCCACCAAACACTGTCCACCATGGGTAGCTGTTATGGCATTTGACGCCCCAATGGCACAAGGTTCAGCATCACAGCAAAACAGATGATAGATAGATAGATAGATAGATAATCATCTATCATCTCAGATAACTTTCTTTGCTAAAGTGAGGAGGACCTGAAGTGCCTGCTGCAGAACAAAGAACTACAGCCGTCAATATGGAGTATATCTAAACATTAAGAAAACAAAAGTCACTGGGCCAATAGGCAACATCATGATAGATGGAAAAAAGATTGAAACTGTCAATGATTTCATCTTACTCAAATCCAAAGTCAACACCCTTGGTGTCAGCAGTGAGAAAATCAGGAGGCACTGCAATGGGTAAGTCTGTTGTCAGGGATCTCTCTCCAAAATACTGAAGAGCTGTATGTCAGATTGAACACTAAGTTGCGCCTCATTCAGGTCATGGTCTTTTCAATCACTTGCTATGAATGTGACAGCTGAACAAGGAATAATGATGACAGAATAAAAAGTGATGCCTTTGAGTTGTGATGCTGGAGAAGCATACAGAGCAGATCCAGTGGACTGCCAAATGAATGAATGGGTGTGTCTTGGAAAATGTGCAGTCAGAGTGCTCTTTGGAGGCAAAGATGTTGAAGTTTTATCTCTCATACTTTGGTCAGGTTGCAAGGAGAGGCTATTCTTCTGAAAAGGGTATTAAGCTTGGAAAGGTGGAGGTTCAGCAAAGATAAGACGGCCAATAAAATGGATTACACAAAGACTGTAGCAATGGTCTCAAGTGTATCAGACAGGACAGGATTCGGGTCTGTGATTCACAGGGTCACTATGAGTTGTATTCAATGGCACAACATCTATGTATTTGATATGCATAAGTGGCAAGAAGTTGTGCTGCAATCCTGAAGGCACACAGATCAAATCCCACCAGCTGCTCCACAGGATGAAGGATGGGCAATCTCCTCCAGTGCGATTAACTGTCTCTGAAATGCCACAGAAGGGTAAGCTAGGGGTCGATTCCAACTTACAGTACACAACAACATAAGGTAGGGAAGGAGGGAAACAGGGAGGTATTTTTTGGGGGGAGGGGACACTTGTTTTGTTAACAGTTGTGAAGTGTTTTCAGTGAGGACAGCAATAATGGTAATACAACATGAAACCCTGGAATAAATGTCACAGAGTTGTAAATGTTGAAGTTGGAATAGTGATGAGCATTTTAATGCGTATACTTTCACCATAATTTCAAAACAAAACACAAAAAAAAGCCACTTATAAAAAGGCTTCCTCTCCCTTAAGGGCCAAAGGCCCACAGCCTACAATATTAGCCTGCCACTTTTCCGAATATAGTCTCATTGTGTTCTAACAATACAAGGAAAATAATACACAGGATTGTTAGTCTTACTTTCCACCAAAAACCTGCACATTTACATCTTCCTAGAAACGTTTGATACTCCTAAGCATTTATTGCATTTTCCCCTTTCTGACCAGCTGTTGTTGTTATGTGCCATTGAGTCACCTGTGACTCATAGTGACCCTATATACAAGAGCTCTAAATGCTGTTCTAAACTGTGCCAACCTAGCCGTGCCAAACACACTTAATCCCACAGCTCCAGTCACAGAATCGATCCATCTCATCGAAGGTCTTCCTCTCCTTCGCCGTCCCTCCACCCTGCCAAACATGATGTCCCTCTCCAAGGACCAGTCACTCTTTGTAACATGACCGAAGTATGTCAGATGAAGCTTCAGAATCCTTGACTCCAAGGTGCATTCCAGCTTCACCTTCTCCAGGACAAACCTGTTTGTTCTCCTAGCAGTCCATGGTATATTCAATACTATTCTCCAGTATCACAGCTCAAAGGCATCAATTCTCTATCATCCCTATTCACTGTCCAACTCTCTGATGCATAGTACGTAATTGCAAAGACCATAGCCCGGATCAGGCGCACCTCCAGCTTCACCTTCTCCAGGACAAACCTGTTTGTTCTCCTAGCAGTCCATGGTATATTCAATACTATTCTCCAGTATCACAGCTCAAAGGCATCAATTCTCTATCATCCCTATTCACTGTCCAACTCTCTGATGCATAGTACGTAATTGCAAAGACCATAGCCCAGATCAGGCGCACCTTAGTCTCCAGCCTGACGTTGTTGCTC